GTGTGGAGAGGGATATCAATATAGAATTGGAATAGCTACAACTTGCTTTGTGGTCCATGTTGGATATGCAGTATGGGGTAGCATCATTAACAACTACTCCTAGAGTTGGAGAGGCTTTGTGATGATTCATGAAGGCAAGAAAATTTAGCAACCCTCTGGAGGCAAGACTGGTGGAGGGTGTTTGATGCTATATTTGAAATGGCACAAGTTTTAGACAAGATGATGTGGATGCTCACAGTGTGAGTTACGTTTCTCATTTATTCTGCAATGAATCATGATGATTTCATGTACTGTACAGTTGTAAAGTCTTAACTATTGTAACTCAAATCCAGCAGATAGCCAGTGACCTTTGTGGTCAGGCCAGTATATTCATGAATTATTGTGCCCCATCCCAGATTTAGATATTCTTGGAATGCAATATTTAATGTCCGAACAGCATAATTATCCAGCTAACATGATTTATGACTCCTTTAGCATATTTTTCACATTTTTCGACGAAAATGCTCGAACTCGAGCATCAGATTATTCCCTTGGGGGTTAGGTTAAGTTGAGTTGATGGCAAACTGATTGGATTGTTGCCATCGGAGTATGATCCTTCCTGAGAAAGATAGAGATAAAAAATCGATCCTGAGATTTGGGAGTGTGTCATTCTGTTGTATGATTTCTCATCCTAACTCTCTTCTTTCACAAGTTTTCAGCCTGAATTCATTCCAGGACTGACAAATTTGATTTTGGATGCTACAGTCTGATAATAATAATAATAGTGACGAAAACAGATTTCTAGGCATTCCAGTTGAAAGAAAGGAAAAAGAAAGACATTATTTCTATCCAAATATTCAATGAAATGAAGAGCGCATAGTTCATGTAATAGTTAAGCAGATTTGGGTCCGATGAGAATGGCATTTGTTTTCAGAAATCAAGATCGGATGGTTACCCCCTCATATTGGCATAGTGACCACTGGTGTCTGATTGTTACCGATTTTTTCAACCGGGTTCTGAGCATTGAACTATAAGAGGATAATGGAAACATAGTTGTATTTGAAACCGCCATCAGCGAGAAGATTAACCGATGAATAATGTTAATAGTTGTGTTAGGAATTCAATACGCACAAACTCCCAATGGGTTCTTCAAACCAATTCCGTTCGAGACCTAGTTTGCACCATCTCTTCCTGTCACAACCAGCTTCGAGTGGGATCTGTTTTTGTGTCTTGCGTAATCCGCTGGCTTTCTAAAGATCATGCTACAGCCTTGATTCTCACAGAGGACTGGAAAAATAAAGCAAATGAGTAAATCGGAATTTGATATTTTGAAAGGGGGGCTCACTCTTCGGAGATCTTACTTCCATCCGTAAGATTTGGGTCGGTTTTGATTGGAGCGTCGTTGTCGACTCCGGTAAATAATTTTGAAGTTGCCCGGCCTGTGGAGGTACTTCAGCAGGACTGCGAGGAAGTGAGACTGCAAGACCCGCTCCGATAGAGCCTGATTGATCTAGCAACAAGGGATTAGCATCGTCAAAGAACTTAAGGTGGTCCCTGCTATTGGCTGAGAGAGATAACCTCCTTCCAAAATATAGGAAACAGCACAGAGGGAAAGAGTACGGTTTGAACTGACCATCTTGAAGGATTGGGGAGTCCGTATTTTCCAGAATCTCTGTTGATGGAACGGATGTGCGATTATGATTAAGCTGCTCATCTTCTGCAGACTTGGCAACGTCAAGGGCATGCAGGCTGAGACCCAGTTGGTCGAGGTCAACGGAGGTGCGCGTGGCCGAAGAGTCAGGAATGCAGTTCATCTGGGTTGTTATTTTTGTTGATAATCTACAATTCTCAAGAAAGGGCGAGGTGAGACGGTGTTGGAAGGGGATGAGATTTGAGAGAGGTTTGTCGTCAGAATCTGGGGGAAACTAATCTGGTGTATAGTGTGGTATTTATAGAGGAGATTGAAAATGGGATGGCAAGTGGCAAAGTCCTTCCTTTGTCACCGGTTATGCATCATGAAGCCTACTCATCTCATCGCGTCTGATCATGCTATAAGCATGACAAAAAGGAATACGATGCAATCTCGGCGCGGCAAGGCCTCCTTTGATGTGGTGTCGTCTCACTCGACCTACTCATACTAAGAGCCGGATGGGATAAATATGCTAGTAACGAGCAATACTCAGTTGGTAGTAGATATTGAGAGCCTGAGTGGAAAAATATGCTAGTAAAAAGCAATCCTTAGTTCGTACTACGTGCGGATGTTTGTTAAATTGTATGCGTTGTGCGGAGCGTTTTTGCACAAACTAATGCGGAAATAATGTTACATTGCAATACGAATACTGTATTCGATGGATGAGCAAACAATGCAAGAGTATGGAAATATTGCAAAATTAGTATGTCGTTGTGGCAGTAGATTTATCACATAGAGACATCCAGCACATCGATCGCCAGTGAAGGAAGTTGAGAGCTTTCGAAGGAGGCTGATGAAACCTGTATAAAAGATACTCACCAAGATTGATCAGAAGCAGTTTATCGAGCCCACACATGACCAGACTCAACGTTGCGTTCTTACCAGATAAATTCAGACAAAGAAGCAAATCTTGGTTGAATCGCATGAGCATGCTGCCCTTCCTCGGGGCCTCGAGAAGGCCCGAAGAAAGTGATTCCGCTGTCATTACTGATCTGCCATGTACGTACTTCAAGCATCTAGGGTCAAAAACAGCAAGCAGCACCGCGGGTCAATCAATAGAGCGCAGGTATCAAGAAATGCCTTGGAGAATAAAGATTGTAGAGGGGGTTTCATGAAAAAGTATCGCTGTTCGCACCATTCTTATAACTAGTGTATAAGGGCGGCTACGCCGCCCATAAATATAAGTCTACTTAATTGGTCATTACTTTTATAGAATAATAAATTCAATACAAAATCCTGAATAATTACAACTTGGGACCTATCCCATCAATGTATCCTGATCATAGTCCTTATCCGCTACATTGTTTTTGAAAATTTGCTTTACTACAACATTGAGTATCTCGACTTCTGACCCCACCTGCGTCACAAAAAGATCTTTTACATTTTTGGACCCTAGACAAGCCAACATACAATTGATCATGAGCAAAGACTTGATTCTTCAAAACCAAAGATACTTGATTCATGCTTTGTCCTTGACACTTGTTGATAGTCATCGCAAATGCCACTGCTACCGGAAATTGATACCTATAGAAAGCTACCTTCACCAATGAATCACCTTCATGATATAGATTAATTTTCGGGATCAATACACTGGCATTCTTGTAAGGTCCAGTTAAAATTCGCCCGCTGATCGCCCTTTCACTTAGCCCTTTGATGAGGATTCTAGTTCCGTTACATAGGCCCTGATCAATTGCCAGGTTCCGCAAGAGGCAATATCGCTAAGAGTCAAACCCAAAGATGTGAAGGAGATAGAATTATTGTATCTTCGAATGTATTTCTGGAAAGCCTTAGCATCTGTTTAGATTGATGGAACTTAATTTAAATTTCAAAACCTAACCTGAATCTTTACCAGTAAACAAATCCCAAAGAAATTTTGGTACCAGGGGAGCTGACATATCGGATGATGGTAGAACAACATTTCCTTTCTGGCAGCATATTGAAAATTGGTTTTCTTTGCTTTGCGCTTGACATCTATTTGAGCGCGTTCCTCTGGCCAATGCAGAGCCTTGCAATGATCACATTGCATGGTACAAGGGGCCAATTCATGTCTTCCTCAAGGCCAGAAGCGTGTGATGATGGGTGAAACCAAGTCTTGAGTGTTATTGAATTCCATTGTTGATGTTTGGAGGATTGGAGTTTAAAAAACTTAAAAATCGGGGCAACCTTGTGGCTTCAAGACAAAAGACATGAGTATTTCAGTTGTGATGTCTCCTTTACATTAGACATAAGAATGTGTTATTGTTTGAACGATTCCAAAGCTCACCGCCCGGATCAGGAAAGTGCGACTTATTGCCGAATCATTTGGATCTGGCGCAGAAAAGTTTTTGCAAACGCGAGTCGCTTGCCTAGGCCAGAAACGTACGCCAAAATGATGAAGCTATTGTTGCAGTGCCTTCAGATCGCACTGGATTTGTAATGGCGATGGCCTAGTGCCTAAATTGGACTTGAAGACGCTGTACATTTCACATGGCAAGTACATTGGTTTTAAAATTAAAAGATATCAAAGGAAATCCCAGATGAAGGATTCTAAATACAATAGACCACGGAAGTAACAAGTCCGGAATAGTCACTGATAGAGGTAGGTACAAGTCCGGAATAGTCACTGATAAATACGGGGAAGGGAATGTGGAAAGATGCTGCTAGAGGATGGTTAAGTAAATGGGAATGTGAAAGAAGCTGCCGGAGGATGGTTAAGTAAATAGGGGTGGAAGAAAAAAGGAAATTAATCGGAGTAAAGGATCATCTCTCAGGTGAGGTGGAAGGTGGCAAAGACCCAAGGAAAAGAACAAAAGAGAAAGATTTGTATAAAAGCAGGGCTCTGTGGTTGGATGGACCGGCAAAGCAGGGTCAATTGGAGAATTAATGTCTCCGGTGCCATCACAAGTTGTGATACCTGTTTTTGGATGGTGGTTCATGATTTAAGGTTAAACTTTTTAATCTGGTCCCCCATTGTTCATCCAGCCACGCGATCGGTGACCTGGGTGCTTTAGACCAAATGCAGCCTAGCAATTTTCTGAGGGCTACATAGCCAACCGACGATTCTCTCAGAGCGCGCCAACCAACGATTCTCCCGACGCGAGCCAACCGACAATTTGCTACCCACTTGACCAGCAGCGCCGCGATTGTGTCTTCGGATCTCCAAGTCCAGAAGACGCGTTTGAGTAAGGCGATCCATTGCACGCTGCTAATTCAAGATTTCTAATCGCTTGCCCAGCTGGAGATCAACACATCCAACTCACAAATCAGGAGATATCTCAACTGAAAATGCAACTGCTCAAGGATCGGCTAATCGCGCTGGCCAAAACGGCCAAATCGACGATCACAAGCCATCTTGGCGATAAAAATCTAACCCTAATCACAAAACACGAGAACAATAGTGGAGTAACCAATGTTTCTTCATCCTCACTATGCTAGGGGATCCGCATCAACGATCTTTTCCAATAACTGTGACCGCGAGCAAGTTTGTATACGGTTTACGATCGCTCATCGACGCTATTCCCAATAGCAATATTGTCCTAGCTTACATTCGAAGCATCGGCCCAAATTTTTTTGGCGTTATCTACATCGTTGCAAACTGTAAGGAATTGAAATTGGTCGTTTGATTCAGCAAATGTTAATGAATTCAAAGTCACAAAAGCGCTGAATACTATTTTACTGTTTTTTTTTTTCGCTTTGCAATAGTGTGCATCGATTTATGGCTTGGTTAGACCTGCCAATCCTTCGCGAGATAGTCTTTCTTCCTCTCCAGTAATTGGCATCAACGCGCCGAGGAGTACAAAAACGATTGCCGATATCCATCACGGAGGTAGTTTCATTCGTGTCAAACACACGATTGCGCGATAACGCTGGTCGCATAATGTTTAACTGAAGAGCCTATTCCAGGAGTTTAATTGCAGGTGGTACTGCCTCGACTCACAAAGTACGTGTTTTTCGAGATTTCGAGTCAGAGCTCCGGCATTGCCTGACAAGATTTATTTTCTTGCAAACTTTTGTCCTGCGTTTGATGTTAACCCGAGACAGATTGTGAGCGACAATTGGTGAATTGACGAGCCGTTGAGGGGTCCGTAATCAGCCAAATCGGGTTCTTCGTTCGAAACCCCGTTGATGATCAGTGAAGCATGGCATCGATGGATTGGAAGCAAACTACCAGATGTTATGGTCAGTTGAGTGGTGTCATCAGCTATTGAATTTTCAGCTGGTTGATTTGTGCACTCTCCAACAGGGAAGCTCCCCTGAACAAGGCTATTTGGCCCGTCCAACTTGGAGTTCAACTGGCAGATTAAGTGGTCCTTGAGTGAGAATTGAGATGAAGATTAAACTGTGGTAATTTTTGATATGGCAAGGATTCGTAGGCACCGTGACACACCAGGGGCCCTGCTCTGTTTGAATTTTCCGCCAGACGAAAAAATCAGTGAGCAAGATTATGCCAAGGAGAATGAGAAGAGGCTGATTGATCCGCGCGTAGTACCGTTGTGTAGCCCAATGTCTGACGGATATGACCGTGTGTATGGAGACCAGTTTCTAACGGATATGACCGTATGGACATCAGGATTCAGAACTGTTAAAATATTCATAATCAGGTTCTAATCATGAATCCGCAGCAAACGTCAATTTCACTCCGTCCAAACATACTCAATCAAAACCTAACCAATTTCTCCCCTGACATCAAAACAAATCCAACATCTTCCCAACTAACGGGTCTTTTCTCCACATGCTTATACAACTAAAAAGTGGAGAAAAGACTGGTAAGAAACCTTCTCACACTCACTCAACAAACCAATCATAACATCAAAAACTAAAACTTTTCTTTTCTTTTTCTTTCCCTATTCTGTTCATCCAATGTTTTTTCCTCCCTTTGTCATTTTTCCTTTACATGTATCTATTCTAGATTTGTCTCGTGTGTCCTCCATCCTCATCATCAATCAAGACAAAACAAAAACAACCCAATTCTGCTTTATTGCAGGTGTGTTGCGGAAACAAGTTGTTTGTTGTCAAGAGTCTTTGTCTCACTCATTCTATCTCTGATGAAGGTGTGTTGCTGAAACAAGTCGTTGTCTCACTCATTCTATCTTTGATAAAGGTGCCCACTTCAAATTCTACCAAAAATTACAAGAACCCAACCAACCAAAACTTTTGGGAGAAGTGAGGTGGTAGTAGATGTTGATCTTGAGGTGAAGCCAATGAGACGTATTTTGGACCATCTTTGGTGTACAGCTAAAACAAAAAAGCTTGCGGGCTGTGGACTCAGAATATCCCAAAAAAAAATTCCATTGTTTGCAGTCAGAAGCTGTGGAAGAATACACTTACTGTATCCTTCCAAAGCTTCAACTGCCTTCCCTTCCTCCTCCGAGCCCTGTGCCCCCCCTTGCCAACCCGTCAGCTGCTTTGTCTGCCCCTTCCACCAGTTCCACATTGGTCACACCTGCTGTAGCTGCCACCCACCCTCCAGCAATCCTTATTGACCAACCCTAGCATATTGATATCTGCGCTTCATTCAAGGTTGGAATCCACCCGTTGCCTGCTTTGGTTAGTTTTCTCTGACCTCCTTGCTACCAATTGGGTATTTCCCAGGGATATCAAGGTTCACGCTCATTGATTGCATTTGCATTGGTTGAACCAGTCGATGTCTCACTTCAAAGGTCAGCAAGACCTGGACCTTGATGACATGCTTCCAAACCTACCATTCTCCAATGTTGAGGAATCAAGCCAGAAGTTGTATCTTGGCACACTGGACTCAGGGAGGGTCCCCCTCAAGACCCAGCTGACAACCAATTTGGCTCATTCTCAACCACCTCCGACATCATTGAGGGGTATGAAGATTTCCCACGAAAACCCTTCGACCAAGACTCAACTTGAGGCGGCTGGGGGTGGGGCATCAACACCCGGGTTTATTCGAGTGATAGCAATCAATTACTTGGTCTTCAACTGCACTAGGGCTGGAACCCGCGGGTAATTTTGGCCTCGGGGGCTCTCCCGCAACCTTTCCCGCTGCTATAACCGGCTTCAGGATTCCCGCAGGGTCCAGCCCGACTACATAACCGCAGGGATTGGGTCAAGTAACCGGGTATCCTCAGTTTCTCAGACTTCCTGTGATTTGGGTGTAATCTCAAAAGAATGTTGTTACAAAATTACAATCCTGATTCCAGTGACGGCAATGATAACACTTGTCACCATTGCTGCAACTTCCACGGATTATTTTTCTTTGTTTTGAAGATCAGAGCTTGATGAGCCATGGTCACATATTCCGAGTCATGAGTACACTCACCATTGATGGCCAACTCATATATATTGTACCATGGGTCAGTGTTGATTTGATCAGAATACCAACACACCTGATTTGAACCCAACAACCAACTATTCCTGCTACCACATCTTGTTTTCACCTACAATCTTATTAATAAACCAATACAATGAACTCGACTTCTGAAGATGATCTTTTAGAACAGTCTCAGACTCCATCCACTCAATCCTCTACTCCGGCAACTGCAACTGCATCCAAAACCCAAACAAAACCCAAGAGCTGGGTCTGGACTTACTTCGTTCCCCAGCCAGAAAACAAGGTCTTATGCACTGCTCCTTTGGCAGATGGAACCCCTTGTGAAAAACATCTAACCCGAGACAAGACTCGCTCTACAAAGTCCATGATCGAACACCTCAGTCGAATACACCAAATAGAGGATCCCAAAAAGGTGGAAGCTGGCAAGAACAAGCGACAGCGTGTGGAGGATAGAGTAAGTTTTCCATGTATCACATTGATTTATTGGTGTATCATGTGCCTGACATTTTTTGGAGTGTATTCTAGCCAGAGCTAACTGCTTCCAACCTGAAAAAGGCTGTTGCATATCTTATTGCCGAAGCAGACCTTCCTTTTGCCTTTGTGGAAAAGAAATCTTTCATCAATCTGATGGAACTTGCAAATCCGCAAGTACCAGGAATGCTTGTTGGCCGAAAAACAATCGCATCCAAAGTACATCGCTTGTACACAGCGCACCTTCACTACCTCAAGGAGACGCTCGCTCAAATACCTTACCTTGGTTACACCCTGGATGCGTGGACTTCTCCAAACAATGCAAGCTTTTATGGCTATAACGGCACACAGAATCTTACCGGATTGGAAAATGTTGGATGTTGTAGTGGCTATGCCTTCTATCCACAGTAAGCTGGGTTGTTTTTAATTTGCAATTGAACTTCAACCTCTGGTTCCTGACCAATTTCTTCCATCTCTTCCATCAAGGTCCCCACACTGGGGAAAACTTAGGCACATTATTTTATGATACCCTTTCCTCACATAATCTGGTATCTTCGCTTACAAGCATCACTACCGACAACGCTTCCAACAATAATACATTGGCATCTACGGTACAGCGGAAAACTTGTGCCTTAAAGGCCTCGAAACAGCTCCTTGGATGTATGGCTCACGTGATCAATCTGGCGGCAAAGGATGGTTTGCAGGCTTTTGGAGGACTACCCGACGATGAACCCGAGCAGGTTATATCCCTCCAGCACCCTAACATGAGGATCAACAACTTGGTCAATGCTGCAGATGGAGCAGGCATCAGTCTGAGTAGTGTAATTTCTCAAATCCACGGCATGGCAACTCATGTCCGCTCTAGTCCCCAGCGAAAGGAAACATTCATATCCATGATGAAAGCAGCGGACCCCAAAAAATTTGGCTCATATTCATCGGAAGAGTTGGAAAACAACGATAAATCACTAATCTTGGATGTAAAGACAAGATGGAATTCAACTTACGAGATGCTCGATCGTGCGCTTGACCTGAAGGATGCTTGTAAGATGCTATGCGGTAGACCCGAAGCCTCAAAATATGCCCTCACAGATACCGAATGGGAGAAGGTCATACAGATGATGGAGTTTCTCAAACCTCTCTATGAGGTTACTCTGATGATATGCCAATCAGAATATCCAACACTCAACATTGCCCTCCCGCTTTACATTTCACTGATCAAGAAATTCCGAGAGGCTCAAACTAAATACGATGCAGCTCAATTGATACCTGCAACTGAGGCAATGGTTAAGAAACTGGTCAAGTATCTTGTCATTGCCTTAGGAAAAACTGCCCCAATATGTGCGATGATTCTCGACCCTCGAATCAAGCTTAGAAACCTTGAGAACGATCGGCAATTGTTAACAGATCTTGGACTATCAATCACACCCGAGAGTGCCTTCGAAAAGTTTCAGGTTGAAGCACAGCTCTTTGACCAATTGTTTGGTGCTACACCTGTTAGTCAATCACCAAAAGCTCAATCATCCATTGAGTCAGATGTTTTTGGAGAAAGCAAACCCGCCAACAATGTGACAATGGAGATTCAACAGTATATGCGTGAATCACACGAGAAGATGGATACCAACATCCTACAGTATTGGAGCTCTCGAACAACCCGATATCCATCACTTGCTGCCATGGCGCGATGCTATCTTGGAATGCCTGCAACAAGTGCCGCATCCAAGCGAGTATTTTCCAGGTCAAAGGCAGTCATCGGCACACAAAGACACAGCTTGGATTCAACTTCTATTGAACACCTGCTATGTCTGAAGCAATGGTATATGGCATTGGATTTCACCATGTTAGACTCAATCGAATCCAATGGACGCTAACTTCCCCACTGAAATTCCATGAATCTTAGCTTTTTTTTTCATCATACTTTCAATTTGTGTGTTGTACATACTGAATTATACACACCACTACATAACAATCCACTTTTATCCGACTACAACCGTTTAACAATATAAATATGTAATCTACTTCGACCGTTTGTTCGCTTTGCGTCTCCTTGTGCCAGAACTTGCATCAAGAAAAAAAAAAAGGAAAGACAACAACAACAACAAACTTGTCTACTCCCGGAATCGGGCCAGCTGGTAATCCAGCTTGTGGTTTTTGACTGCGGATACCCGACTGAAGTCCGAAGTCGGAACGGCCTCCGTACCCGCAGAATTGTTTCTTTTTCCTTTTTGAAGAGCACCGACCCGACCACCGTCCCCGCAGGGTCGGATCTCGGGTATGTCCGAAACCCGCGGTGGACGGGTGCCAGCCCTAAACTGCACAGTCAGCAAACAAATATCTCATGTGCTACTGTCATCATCAAAAGCAAGTCCTGCTGCTTCAACAAAAGAGTGGGAAAAGATCACTCCCAACTTTGATACTGTCTGGAAGGCGGCTCTTGAGGTGTGGTCCTGGCCAAATGCTCAACAGTGCATCATAACCCTGCTTTGCAATGGCCAACCGCTTCTGGCAGATCACCTGGACAAACTTCAAGCAAATGGCCTGCTCAAATG